AAATAATCATTATTTCTCCTTGAAATAAGTTTTGAATCTTCGTTGGGGGGAAACACGTGCGGGATAGTATTTCAAATGTCGTTTTACATTACCATGATATCGCTTACTATAATTTACATAAGTAATTCTAATACAATATTGTTGCATCAAGTTGCAGCTTTTCAGGATCGTCGACCTTGGTTTTCCTCCTTCTTGGTATTATACACGTTTCCCGAGCGGATTTCCTTATTGATAGCAAATAGGTAAAAGTAAATAAATAAAAGTAAATAAAAATAAATTACCTTTTAAATATATTGTGTTTATTTATTCATTGTCTTCCTCGTAAGTCGTGATCCGCAGTCTTCGTCTAGGTCCTCTCTCGCGCCGATAACCAATCAAGATATATGTCATAATTTGTACATAGCTAGATGCAAACCCGACCCAATATGTATGAAATGTATGTTTTACAAGATTTAATAAAGAACAAGGCTTAACAATCTGGAGAGAGAAGGCCTAGAGAGGACAATCATTAGCAGGGTTTTATTATCCCGGAACTCATAAAAGTTGAGTTCAAGAAACTAGTACTTCCTGGTCAAGTCAGAACAAGTCCAAAGGACAAAGAAATTAGCAAAGAACAACCAGAAAGCAGCTCATTAGTCAAGGACCTATAGCGAGCTTACACGTCACGAATGTTCAGCCAATGAGCAATCAGAAGAGTTTTCTTCTTAAATCGAGAACACAGCATTAGCAGTTAGGAGCTCGACACCATCGAGTTAGCACCTGCAGTTAACGGCTGGACACCATCAAGTCCGGATCTCGCCGCGGTAGAGACCACTTTGGAGTCATCCTCATCCGCTCAACCCTTCAGATAAGTCAATCCTATCACCATGTGAACAGTTATAACCAATAGTCAACTTCGCTCAATCTCTCAACTTCTTTTCCCTAGATTGCAAGCCTTTTCCAACCCAATCAACCCTTTGTCCTCGTTATTTTCCCCTGTTGTGAACACCTGACCACTCAGCATCAACGACTGCGCCAACACCTCAACAATTATCAATCAACTCAAAACATTTTTACACCCGTGTTCCCACATATATGTACAATAAAATATTACAAAAGGAATGATGATAATCTAAATAATATGTTTTAAATAAATATTAAATATTATAGAATATTTTGAATATATGTAGGGCGTATCAATTAAAATTGATGCAACAATATAATGCTGCTAAATAGAACGACGTTTTACAAGTTTTAACTCAAATCCCTGGAAACTAATAGGGAATAGTCGTTATTTCTCCTCAAATAATTGAAATTACGATTTTTCCTTCTGTAAAAAGATTTGCGATAAAATTTGTTAAATGTCGTTCTTATAATTAATTCTAGATGATGCAATATTTTGTGGCCAGTATATATGAAATCCATTAATAATATGGCAAGCTTGAATCAAATATTTTATCAAAATCTTCTGATATTTCGAAAAAGTTGATTCCCTATCTTCTTCTAGGAGCTACAGGTCTCTAAAACCTTTCTATCCACTGGTATATGAGAAATAGGCATTTTCAAACAAGTAAAGGTGACGGTAATGAATTATTTTTGCAATTATTAAATGGTTTCTTCTGTGATTATTCTATGTGTTGAAGCAATTTTGTTAAAAATTATTAAAAATATCCACAACACAAAGTTTCTAAATATAATACTCATTGCTAGCTTATTACTTTTCGAAATGCAACTTAAAACCTCACTCTATGTAAATAATTCTTAAAATTAAAGATACTTTGGCCAGTAAATCTTTTTGTTATCTCGATTATTCGACAAAAATCATTCGTCTTTGTCAGGAGCAAACAAAAATTAATGTATTTGACAAGGCGTTAAAAATTATTCTAAGGTTGCAAAGGCGTTCTGATGCGATATTTTTGTCAAAACATCGAGATACTAGAAATATTTACTGGCCGAAGTATCTTCAATTTTAAGAACTATGAATGTCGGCATGGCATCCTTTATGGAGATGTCGGGTTTTCTCTTCATTGGAAAATGGGTGCCGTTGCCATGTTAGTCACTTTGGACCAGAATTTGGTCAAATATTCCAAGGGTCCACTGGTA